ATCTCACGAGGAAAGCCCACCAAGTGTTCCCTCGCTTTTGAGCTGAGACTCAGTTGACCGGGGCTAATCGAGCATGCTGATTCCGAATATCACAATGGTTTGGGCTGATAGATCTCCAGAGACCCGGTTTCTGGAAAACCAGTTTTTCAGAAACTCTAAAAGCTAACTAAAACATTTTTTAATGACTCATGATTGTAGCCCACAAATTTCTGATTAAAATGAGACCTCTCCCAGCTCTACACGACCTTTCTTTGCAAAGTTATAGAATTTATAAGAAAAGCCCTAAATTCATTTCTTCTTATTTCTGTAGCTTTCAGCTGACAATAAACAATTTAGGGCTTTTCTTGTAAATTCTATAACTTTGCAAAGAAAGGTCGTGTAGAGCTGGGAGAGGTCTCATTTTAATCAGAAATTTGTGGCTACAATCATGAGTCATTAAAAAATGTTTTAGTTAGCTTTTAGAGTTTCTGAAAAACTGGTTTCCAGAAACCGGGTCTCTGGAGATCTATCAGCCCAAACCATTGTGATATTCGGAATCAGCATGTTCGATTACCCCCGGTCAACTGAGTCTCAGCTCAAAAGCGAGGGAACACTTGGTGGGCTTCCCTCGTCAGTGAGTCATTCCAAGATATAGCATCTCTTTTTGATAAGTATTACTATTATACTTGTCTTTTGTCATTTGTTCATCCAGGTAAATGTTCACTTGTTATTTAGTAATTATATGAGGAAAAGTATCAATAAATAAACATCAAAAGGCAATATATTGACGTAAATTAACATTTTTTTTCCTTCTTTAACTCGATTTTATTTCAATATTCAATCACTCTTTTACAGTCAATTGAGAATTCTCACATCTTTGAACTTATTTTGCCCGTCATCAAAGTAAGAGACTGAAAGAAAAGAATATTTTCTCTATACTTTTTTCTCTCCCTCTCTATACACATATTGTCTGTATATGAGTGTCAATTACAAATCCATCGAGAAATCTAAAACTTGTCATACCTATAAACATCTCAGAGGTCAATCGAAAAGAAACAGAAAAAAAAAAGAGTACCGCATGCGTGATATCTACTGCTTGCAGACATATATCGATGGAGAGAAGTGTCAAATTTATGAGACAAGTTCAAAATCATTTACATCGATAATAATCGATTAATTTTATACACACTCACATTAAAAAGAGAGAAAAATCACACCAATAAATAGGCATGAAGTGCGATAAGAAAAAAAAATGTAAACAAATCATAAACGATTTATTTTAGTTAAACAATGAAAATAGCCAAGGTATTAACTCCAGTAATGCTGAAGATTTTTTTCTTAATATACAAACAAATCTATAGCCAGACCTAAATGTAACTCTATTTCTAAAAAGCAAACGCTACAATCAGATACGGTTTAATGGGTAAATCACAAGAAAAAAGAAGATGAAGGTCAAAAAGCCAATTAATCTCTGTCATTTCACTGACATAGAATAATAAATCGTGGTTTCTGTTTCAACCGACAAATTTAATTGTCATTTGACGTTTGTTTCGGAAATGTTGTTATTCGATAACGATAGATCTATACGTTTTTAATTGACAGTAGTGTAGTGACTAGGTTGTGTGTGTTTCTTGTTCTGTCAATGTGTTTCATTCGCACAGTAAGTAAAACACTTGTTATTCTTAGAAATTTTGTTAAATTAACTGGTTTTGATTGATCATTCAGTTACACCTGTTTCGCTTATCATTCATTTTTTATTTTTAATGCAAATCTATACATTAAACGAAGTTATAAATAGTGTAACCGACAACTTGTACAAACACATTCACACATCTAAATTTAATTACATCATACCGTTTATGTTTTGGCATTTACCATTTTAAAACGAGAAGCACGTACTATAAAAATTTCAATCGCGATCAATTTTTAGACAGTTAGGAGAAGAAACTGAGAGAAAACTATCTATAATAAATCATTCAGCTATTAAAAAACCAGGTTTAACATCATCAAGTTAGGTGGGACACTGCATGACTAACGAAAAAAAATATAATATATATATATATATATATATATCGATCTACGATTTAGAGACAGTAATTTATATGACAAATAAAAAAAATTTGACTTGTTAGAAGAAAAAAAACAAACAACGATCTAATAAAGACTTAGAATTTCATCTGTATATTGTCATGTGAATGGTTGTTGTTATTCGCTTGTCATACCTAATATGCAATTATCACATTAATCATATCTTTTTGATCATGCACTTAACTGTCTTTATGCAAAAAGAAAAAAATGTATGAAAATTTGGAACAACACCATTTATTGATGTTGTTTGGTATTCGGAACGTTTCACCCATTGTCAAGAAACATAAAAAATCAATAAACTATAATATTATGATTCTTATTTCATCATCATAGTCAATTGGTAACATGGAGATAATATACATTAAAAAGAGTAGAATAACATAACATAATCTGTCATCCTAATGTGAATAAAGGTATTCTCCTTGTTGTTTTTTCTTTATATTTAACATCTTTTATCGAACAAAAGAAACAAGATGTAGTACATAGTCATTTATGACAATACATATATATCATGTCTATTCAAATAATATAACAAACATAAAAAGCGAACATATTTGTAATCCATTTGATTACGTCAGATAATATGCAAATTTTCAGATATTATTAACAATAATTACTAAAATCTTATTTAAAACTCATAGAAAGTAATAAAAATATTAGTTTTATTGGAAAGTGTCATTAGTTGACCTTAGACAAAAATTACCCGTTATCATAAGAAATAGCTAGTATGGAAAGCGTGAAATTCACGTATATAAATGTAATATTTTCTCGAATTTGAACTTTTATGAAAGAGAAAATAATTTAGAACTAGATAATTTTAGCTATATTTGTATAGAAGTGTCATTTTTCCATATATTGTGGATCAAATGCCAAATATTTAAGTACTATAATTTCATATCTTATAATTTTTATAACAATAAACAAGCACACTCTAAAAAAACTCGTGAAAACAACAAAAGATTCATAAATTCACTGTAAATGAACAACAAAGAGTAATTTTTTGTCATAGCTTAGTAGGATAAAAGCCCAATGGTGGTGGATAGAGTCCAAATGGCATTGGAGGATATAACGATGAAACTGGTGCAGTTGCCAATGCATGACTCAACGCTGATGACGACAAATAGGGTAGAGAAGAACATGAAGGGCTATTAGTTGGTGATGGTTTATATGGATAAAAACAAGATGACGATGAAACTGTTTTTTGATGATTATTTTCACCCGATGTGTGTGTACATAGATGATCCAGTAATGCTAGTTGCGACTGAAAACGTTTACCACAGAATCCTTCTGATGATTCCATCCAATTACAAACAAATTGTTGTTGTTGTTGTTGTTGTGTTGACAATAATGAAGAACAACCCGAAGATATGTTTTTATTGTGTTTATTTGAATAGTCACGAATGATTTGATCGAAATAATAATGAGGATTATTACGTTGAATTGTAAATGCTGAATTAGCCGATGCTATGGATGGTGACGATGTGTCACCAGAATAAAATGTTTTTGATAAATGACGTAGAAGAGTAGGATCAAAAAAATGCATTGGATTAAATGACGGAATCAAAAAAGGATTTTCCGGAGAAAAATCTAACGGAGGTGGTGGCGGAGGTAAGAAGGGTGGTGACATTTGTTTACTTTTTGAAGGAGAACAAGATGATACATTAGTCGATAATGGCGAATGATTCGTGGTATGACGTATTTTTTGTGGAGATGATTCGTATTCGTTCGACGATTTAGTTGGTAATGGGCGTTTCAACGATTTTGTCCGGTTATGATTTGTCAGTTCTACAGGCGATAAAGACTTTCTAATTGTGGTTGTTGTTGTTGTACGATGTTTATCGGTTTGTTGAGGAGGAACGATTAAACGTGTTTTTTGTTTATCACATTTAGGAATTTGAGACGACGATGATGGCTGATAATGTTTGTTAAACGATGGTAATGTTACATTGGCAAGCCCAAGTTCTTTACCAATGTTATTACACGCTTGAGCCATCAATACTAATGGACTTTGTTTCAAATCAATCTAGTAGGAAAATTAAAGTCAATATCAATATTTCACCAAAATGTCTAATAAGAAGTCTTATTAAAACTAAGAACATTTTGCTTTTATGAAATTTTCAAATGTTAATAATAAAAGAGTATGGAGAAGAGTATACAAAATTGTTAACGTTCATACTAGCGTTCCTAATCAAATAATTACCTATAACAGATGAATAATTAGCAAACTTTTATTCTTCAAATAGAATAATGGGCTAATTGTTGACCTAACAGAGGCAATTTTATAATTTTAAAGTGTTATAATGTTAATACTAGAAGTAAAATTCGATTAGTTTTCCTAGGGTTGGTAATCGCAGATCTGAACGAAACAATGCCGTTCTGACTCCATCCTACAAAAATTGATGGCGTGTGAACGGTCAACTTTCACCACGACCATGGAATTTAGAACAAATACAAACAGAGTATTAACAACTCATATGAGTTCGATATTGAACTTTTATAGTGTTCAATCCTTCTCCACGCACAAGGAAAACTTTTACACTCCAAAAAAAACAACAAAACAGGCCTTGACAGAATAGCGTCAGAGCACTTGTATAAAAGTCAAATGCTTACTGTTGTTTGTGATGATGGATGGATATATTCAGAATAATCTTTGGTGGTTAGTGTTGCAACCATAATATATTGTACAATTCAAGTACTGTTTTTATTAAATTTGCTTTGAAACTGATAAAAAAATATTTATATAGTAGTAAATGAAATGAAGTCAAGTGTCTTTCACGGACAGTGTATGTTTGTCTATCCAATAGAAAAAACGAATGTTTGACAGTATAAAATCTATCGATAGATTGACGAGTAGTATGTTGATTTGAACAAAAGAGAGGAGAAAAGTAAACCAACACGAAAAAGAGAAAAAGAACAGAACATAACATACTTGCCTCATGTCTCTCACAATATGAATAGATACTAGAGAAAGAAGAAGAAAGAATTCGAGAAACGAAAAGAAAAGAAAAAAACAGTAGAATACAATTAGAACGATAAATCACTGTCTGCCACTATCGTCAACCATTTAAAAATAAATGGAACATAAACTTATTGGCCTATTTATTTACATAAATAACTCTAATAGGACCAATATTTTTAGATGATGAACATATACACTATAGCTATATGGTAATAGCAGTCGTAGGGTACTTTTCGACAGAGGTTAGATCGAGTGTTAAGGCAAGGTGGGAAGTAAAACTTATTCAGTTTTTCTTAATTTTTACTTTAGAAAGTGGCAGTTTTATACTTCCATTAAAACAAATAAGCTTCAGGAAAAACAAATAATCTCGAAAAGTACGATAGTGAATACACTGCCTCTGCTGCTAAATATCGGTGGTATATGCAGCAGTAGTCTTGGTATCGGATAGCGGTATCTTTTAGCATATATGACTCTGTGTTACATGAAAAAGAAAATTTAACTTTTTCGTAATATTTCTTAACAGACTCGCAGCTGGTCATTCGTAGCAGAGACAGGATAGGTTCGTTTGAGATATAAAACAATCAGTATTGGTCGATTAATATTTCAATACTCGTGATTATTTAATAGTAAAGCATGAAAAAAACAATACGTTTTACCAGCATTGAAAATGATTTTTAAACTTTTTCAAACATTGTTCACAATTAATGAAGCTTTGTAAAGAAAGATCCTATTTATCTACTTAATTATTAAAACTTTCATTAGCTAGCTTTGTTGACCAGGAAATGCAACAGTTTTATAATTGTCTTCCATCAACTTGATTTGTGCATGATGTGTCGAAGTTTCTGCTACTAATTATCGAATCAGAGATCGTCTGTATAGAGATAAATTAGTTTCTAAAAATAAAACATTTAAAAGAAGTCATATAATTCTATGTGTTTTTAAATATTAAGAATTATTAAAGATAATCGTCAATAGGTTAAAAATCTTCCACTTAAAAGCGCACTCTGTGTATAATGTAAAGAGTGATTGATTGATGAAAAAAAGTAGGTTGAGCATATCTGACAGTAATAAACGTCTCTTGCACACTTGAATGGCGATTTAAGCAAGTAAAATATGAAGTATTTATGATGATATCATTTTCTTTTCTTTTCGTGTTTTTCTATTCTTATCCGGTTGTTCTTTCTTTCTCTATTCTCCTTTCGTTTCATCGACAATCATAAATCTTAAATTAAGTGCTCGACTTGTCAAACGAATGTATCATTTAAGAAGAAATGGGTATGTACAATATAGATATAAAAAGCGGCATAATTCTTCTTGCACTTGTATCATTATAGATAGTGAGGAGATGAAGATCGAAAAACACCGCAAAACAATTTTTCATTTTTTGATCAAAAAAAAAAAAGAGTTCTGAATGATGTATAGCATCTCTAATATGTATCAGCGTTGCCCATTAAAAGAAACGTGTTCAAGTCATCCATTTCAACACATATACACATACAACATATCCACCTACAACAATAACACATCAAAAAGCACCGATATAGATGGTCTCTCTAGTTAAAATGATCTCAGAAAAGGAAAATGTATGTACAATTGGACGTCAAAAAACAAAGATATCGAATACCTAGAAGATTGATGGCACAAACAACATCCCTATGGAGTGTGAATGAATTGACACACAATTGTTCATTGTAATCTAATAAAAAACATGCTTTATCACTATGATATGCACTCTTAGAGAATTGTTACGCAGATGAAAATCCAATTCAAGAATTATAGCTCAAATAGATCGAAATGCGCGTATACTTGTTAGTTTGAACGGGTCGTGATTGGACCATACAAAATTGCTAAAACATTTAGATCATAGTAATCGTGTTTTTTGTATATATTTTTTAATGTGAACAATGCCGTGAATACAAAATAGAACTGAAAGATTACAATTACTGAAGATTACATTTGATATTTTGTCACGACGTTTGAATCTTGATTTTCTCCTTCAAATCACAATGATCTTTGCCTCCTCCTGGATCATAGCAAAAGCTGTGCTATCAATCGTACCTTCTATTATATTAATCATACAAATTTTGTTCGGTGTTACGCTTAATTCCTGTCATAGTGTTGCATTTTTACTTCTCACAAAAGCAATTGCGGATGACAAAAAAGCTCTCACAATTTAATCTGTTTGGGGATGTAGACGCTCTTCAAGTTTAGATATATCCACCACTATAAAGATTGTATTTTTATTTTGTGTGTGAGCTTCATGTTGATGCTTTGTAGTCATATGAAGTTCAAAATATGGTTTCCCAGTTTTGTTATAGGTGACTAGGCCTACCGAGACGCTCTTTGACTCGCTTATTCCGAGATAGCGGTTGAGGCGGACAGTTACGTACAAAAAAGTGGTTGTGATATCTTGTGAAAGCCATTAACTTCACCGCACATGTTTCTGCAAGATGGTATTAATGAGTAACTTATTGTTTGAAAAAAATAAATTAAATAAGTAAGAACTAGTTGCACATGCTAACTTAACCAGAACGCTAGAGCAACATTTTCAAAAACATTTTGGACAAAAAGTGACACATTTTCCAAGCAAAATTAGTCGATTTCTT